ATAAATGCATGTAGGTCTAAATTTGGGTGAAAAAGATTTTTCTTTTCTGCCAAAATCATTAGGATATGAAGTAAAAAAAAAATCACGTTTCATGAAGTTTCCTAGTGTAAATATATCCAAAATTATTTGATCATTAATATGCCTTGCTAAGTGTTTAATTAAAGCAAAATTAAAGGTGATTTGATTCAATATTGAGTTTTTTTTTCAGATTTACGAATAGTTGTTGCTCAGCTAAATATCATCAAATACTAAGAAATCAAACACTTTAATTATTCATATTTCAGATTATTTTACATTCACAAAACCAGTCATATGGACCAATTTTTTTTGTATACCCATTAAATTTGCCCATATGACTGGTTTCATGGTTCATCATCACAAACCAGGTAGCAAAGAATTCCTGCCCACATTTGGTATAAAATTAGCACAGCAGGCAATCATCTGGCACTGGCATATAGCATGTGGGCCAAACATGGCCTGGGTTTGACAGAGGTGGCACCTTCTTTAAAGAGGCACACAAGACTTGGCCCAGATGTTAAAAAATTATGTGTGGGCCACTTAAGTTTGACCAATCTTGTCCCACATTTAAAATACATGTAAATTATTTTTGAGTTTCAAGTTTCACACTTAGGTAATACTTAACTGTAATAGCAGGTTTGGCATCCTGTCCTGGGAGAGAACCCTGAGCTCAGAGATAGATGAGATCATGCATTTCCTGAGAGCACCTGGTTCATTTTTTACCTTTACCTTGGTATATAAGGTGGTTCTATACGAATCTATTCAGAATGTATGTGTTAAATGCTTGTGACTGTTATTACAATTTGCTTATGTCACATGTTTTTAGACTGTGGGAAAAAAAAACAGAGTACCCTGGGAAAACCCATGCGAACATGGAGAGAACTTGCAAACTCCGTGCAGAACGTGGGACTGGCTCAATTAGGACTTGAACTATTGGCCCTCCCGCTGCAAGGTAGCAGCCCCAGCCACTGAACTGCTGTGTCACCCGACACAAAGAGAAACAATTCTACCATTCAGATCACTTCAAGAAAAAGTATGACTATATGCAAATTTCATGCAGCCGCCACTTTTAAAAATGAGCACTATAAACATTGCAACAACATGCTGTGGACTACAACGCAATTTTAGAGTGCAGATGTAATTTAAACCACTTTAATATCATTCAGTTCAGTTTAATGTAAACAATTAAAAGCATATTAGACATCAAACAACATCACAATCTCTTTAAGAGTGATACGCTTAAGTGTCCTCCTAGACTTCAGTTCATGGCACCAGGTAAACACAGTGGGAACGCTTCCCTGTTCAGCCTATGTAACCCAGTGAGCGATAAAACAATGCAGTCCTCTGTAGCACAACCTCGTGTTGTCTGTAAGAGTGTTGTAATTTTAAAAATGTCCATTTCCCATTAACATTTAAGCACTGTTGAGCACGTTCTTGAACACCGTTGATTTGCCATAGTATTCACCAGTGCTTTACACAAATGACTGTGATTGGCCGTGAAGGTCATCAATTCACTGCACTTTACCAAGTGCAAACGGATACACGGAGACTAGAGCATTTTATAGCTGATGACCTTCACAGTCAATTACAGACATTTCTGTCACCCACTGGTGAATAGTATGGCAAATCAGTGCTGTTTAAGAACGCACTAAACAGCACTTAATTGTTAGCAGGAAATGGATGTTTTTTTTTTATTTATTTTTTATTTCAGTTCCTAAATAAGTGCTGAAATTCAGTATTGTGACAAGTCTAATGAAATAGTGAAATAGTCAGTTCAATAACTTGAGTTTGATAGATGGCATCTAAAATGAGAGTTTGAGAAAGAAAACGATAGCTAACTTGTGCCATTTTTCTTGACTTAGCAGAAAATATGGTCTGATATGCCTTTTTGTTAACTATCCATTCAGGACAGACATTCGGGTCACTTCGAAGGCGGTGAAATGATACATTTGTGTCACTTTCTCTTCACTGATAAGATATACAGCCAGGTTCACAACGTTCCTGTGTGACTTCAGGCGACACTTTCGGGCTTCTTCCCACTGCAGCCTCAGTTTTGCTTTTAAAATGGCAGCCACATAAAATCATTCTATAGCGTAGCTAAAGCGCAATGCTTCATTGCAGTTGTGACATGCCAAGATATCTGGCCCCTTTCAGGCCTAGTTATGGGACACAATCAGCTTTGCTTGGCCCACATGCTGCAGTAAATTACAGTGTATGACTGGAGCAAGTCTTGCTTCCAGACAAGGGCTAAACATTGACCATATTTGGGCCAAGTCTCAGCCAAGTGAGTTCTTGAAGCGACCTGATTGGTAGAATCGATTTTCTGTACTCAAAAATAATTCAAATGTATTTTAAATGTGGGTTGAGATAGGCCAAACTTACATGGCCGACTGATCAGTTTTATCAAATCTGGGCCAAATGCTACATTCAATTTCTGGCCCATGTTTTTGTATGCCGCCTTAAAGATGGTGCCATGTTTGGCCCACATGCTGTATGCCAGCGCTGGATGAATGCCTGCTGTGCCAGATTAATGCCAAATGTGAGCTAGAATTATTTGCTATCATTAGTTTAAAAAACTTAAAAGTTAGTTGCTGTTTAGTATCTAAGCTATTTTGAAATACAGCCAATAGAAACATGTGACCATGGTTTCCCCAGATTAGCAAACATACGTAACCAAATTGACTTATGCATGCCAAAAGTCATTGTTCTACCTCTGAGTTATTTAAAAAAAAGAGTTTGAGATGTGAATAGGAAGCTGTGGTTCAGAGCAACTGCATGAAATAGACAAGAGTGTGAGTTGGTGGGCCAGTTGCATGGTCATAAAAACAAGTACAATCTACCCAAACATAACATAAAATATCACTGTTAGCTTTTTTCATTGCACATTTTTTCCTTCTCATATTTGATTGCACGTTTTCTCTCACCCACATAATTTCTTGAGCATGCATTTTTGGCTTTACCCATCACTTGTGAGACAGCACTAACAGGTACAGTTTTGTTTCCAGATACAGAAAGTGGTCTGGCGTTTTTCTAAAGTCCTAAAGCCAAGCCATGTTTGGTCAAAAGATTCAAAAGATTTAGAGTAGAGAGTATTTGGGCCCACACAACAGCATAGCAGATAAAGAAACAATTAAAATACAAAAATCAGCCCAAGTATAAAGCACATACTGCTCTCTACAATAATGATGTCTACACTGTAAAACCCAACAGTCAACTTTATTTTCTTAAATTTACTGAAAGTTAAATCTAATCATTGAAAAGAATTTTGAGCTCAGTGTTGCAGGTAATGATTTAATTAAATACTTCATTACTTCAGCTTAAATGGAGTAATTTAACAGTACTCATTTATAGATTATTATTTTTTAACTCAAATGGTTTGAGTTGCCATAACTTATTTGTTTTAACAGTACTCAGTTGGTTTGAGTTCTCTTCATTTATTGGGTTTTACTGTGCTCAAATAGCTTTGTTTACTCAAATGGATTAAGTTCACAGTACTCATTAGGATTTGTCTTTCAACATAAATGTTTTTTTGCAATCAATTTCCTCAAAGGGTTTGAGTTACCTTAACGTTTGGGTTTTATAGTGTAACAAAAGTAATATTTTTTAATAAATCTTGCTAAAAACCTTTGTAGACATTTGACAAAAAAAAAAAAAAAAAGTTCAAACAGGTTAGTAATAAGTGACACTGCTGTTGCTGTTTGTGAAGTTGTTTAATAATGCCGATGAGCTGAGGTTTTGAGATTTTTTTTTCATTTTAGTTAATCTAAGGACAGGCTTCACAGGTATTTTTGTAAAAAAAATAAATTCCCCTCCATTAAAAAAAATTACAGAGGCAATTTTTAATATCTTTACCCTGACAAGAGGTTTTAAAACGTTTGGTTTCAGTGACCTGACACTGCACTTTAGAGTGTACTGGCAGCCAAACCTCATTTAAAAAGCTGCAGGTTTGAAAATTCCCCTGTTTGTGTGGACAGCAAAGCCTAAGGCTGTGACTGAAGTCAGTTTTGTGTTCCTCTTCAGTGATTGTTACTAGCAGTAGTTCATCATTAATGTTCACCAAACACTTTAACTCTGTTGTTTTAACTCTCTTTGTGTAAGTGGGACTAAATACTTAATGAGATGTTCATTTTACTGTGAGGATCTTGTTGTGTATCAAATAAGGTCTACTTTGCAGTAAAGATATCAGTTAAAGTGTTAAGTTATTTTTAGATGGAATATTATGAAAGCTAAAGAAAAAAAACATTAAATAAGACCAATAAACTTGAACAATATATATATATATATATATATATATATATATATATATATATATATATATATATATATAATTTGTGACATACATACAGTTGAAGTCAGAATTATTACCTAACTATTAACTTTAAATTTCTTTTTTTTTCTTCTTCTTTTTTTTATTTCCTAAATATGTTTGACAGACCAAGGACATTTTCACAGTATTTCTTATAATACTTTTTTCTTCGGGAGAATGTCTTTTTTTTTGTTTTATTTCGGTTAGAATAAAAGTTTGAGATGTGAATAGGAAGCTGTGGTTCAGAGCAACTGCATGAAATAGACAAGAGTGTGAGTTGGTGGGCCAGTTGCATGGTCATAAAAACAAGTCTTATGCAGATTCCACCTACAATCTACCCAAACATAACATAAAATATCACTGTTAGCTTTTTTCATTGCACATTTTTTTTCCTTCTCATATTTGATTGCACGTTTTCCCTCACCCACATAATTTCTTGAGCATGCATTATTGGCTTTACCCATCACTTGTGAGACAGCACTAACAGGTACAGTTTTGTTTCCAGATACTGAAAGTGGTCTGACGTTTTTTTTTTTTTTTTTCTCACTTGCACCGTCCGCCCACCCAAGGGCTTTATGAGTGATGGTTATCTCTCAGTCTCATTGTGCAGTGGGTCTTTTCACACTACTTTGGATGTGCAGTTGTCATTTCTGAATTGGCCAAAGACGCTGTGCATATGGCTTCAGGTAACGTGTCGTATCCTTCAGTTTTTGTGGTTGACGGACACATGAGACCCCCTCCTCTACCCCCCAAGCCGGCCAGTAGACATCGGAAGGAAGCCATCCAGACTTTGCTGTTCATCCTGGTGACTTTGGCTCTGTTTGGCATGGCTGTGGAAGCCTGCTTCATCTACCGTCTGTACTCAGTCAAAGAAACTATTGTAAGTACAATTCAGTGCAACTTTTACTTTTAGCATCAGCACTTTCAGCTCATCTCAGAAGTTTCTGACGCTCTTTTCTTTTACACAATGAATGTGGATGATAGTCATTGGAGCGTGACTCATTCAAGTGCAGTCTAACAGTTTCAAATATCTAAAATAAGAAGATTCAGATGGCTGAAATAAACTAAAACTAAAAATTGAGCAAGATTTCAAATAAAGTTTTTTTTTCTTTTGAATCTTCTGAAAAATTGAATGATCAGTTTACACAAAATGTTAATAATAGTAAGACATTCTTTATGATTTTTATTTATTTCTTTTAAAGGACCATGTGATAGTAAAGATTAGGGTAATGGTGCTTTGTCATCGTGGAAAGAAATCTCATTTTACAATGTATTAACCAATAAATCTAATTTGTTATTTTAAATTGATATTATATTTCACAGAATTGAAGTATTTTACTGTATTTTTGAACAACTTAATGGATTACTTATAGGGACAACTTTTAAAAATAAACATTTATACTGACTACATGAACAAAATTAAAATGAAATGGATATATTTTAAGTGGCATTTAAAATTTCCAAAGAAAATTAGCATTATTCATTTGTTTATGATGAGTTTTTTCACTTTGAAGACCATGAAAATAATATATTATTTGCCATAAATGTGAAATTGGTAAACCGACACTCTGGAGCCTGTTAAAAACGCCCATTTTTCAGAGAAGAGGTTTTAAAACGTTTGGTTTTAGTGACCTGACACTGCACTTTAGAGTGTACTGGCAGCCAAACCTCATTTAAAAAGCTGCAGGTTTGAAAATTCCCGTTTGTGTGGACAGCAAAGCCTAAGGCTGTGACTGAAGTCAGTTTTGTGTTCCTCTTCAATGATTGTTACCAGCAGGAGTTCATCATTAATGTTCACCAAACACTTTAACTCTGCTTAAGTGTTATCTTGTTGTGTATCAAATAAGGTCTACTTTGCACTAAAGATATCAGTTAAAGTGTTAAGTTATTTTTAGATGGAATATTCTAAAAACTAAAGAAAAAAAAACATTAAACAAGACAGATACACTTGATTTATTAATTTATTAACACAGTATACTCCAATTTTCCAGGATTTATACTAACAAGTTATTTGCCAACTAGCAACTATAGTTGACAATGTATACAAAAAAAAGATCCCTCTATAGATCTCATGTAAGATCTCATGTAAGATATGTATGTATATATATATATATATATATATATATATATATATAGTTGAAGTCAGAATTATTACCTAATTATTAACTTTAAATTTCTTTTCTTTTTTTCCCCTTATTTTACACTTCCCAAATGATGTTTGACAGAGCAAGGACATTTTCACAGTATTTCCTATAATACTTTTTCTTCTGGAGAAAGTCTTTTTTTTGTTTTATTTCGGTTAGAATAAAAGTGGTTTTTAATTTTTTAAACAGCCATTTTAATGTCAAAATTATTAGCCCCTTTAGATTGTCTACAGAACAAACCATCATTATACAATAACTTGCCTAATTCTTCTAATCTGCCTAATTAACCTAATTAACCGTGAATCCTTTAAATGTCACTTTAAGCTGTAAGTGTCTTAATAAATATCTAGTAAAATATTATTTACTGTCATCATGGCAAAGATAAAATAAATCACTTATTAGAAATGAGTTATTAAAACTATTATGTTTAGAAATGTAAGAAGAAATCGATTAAATACAGAAATTGGGGAACAATAAACAGGGGGGCTAATTATTCTATTAATATAATTATATATATATATATATATATATATATATATATATATATATATATATATATATATATATATATATATATAGTAACATGAAAATTTATTTTAAGAGGGTTTATCTCCATTTTTATAATCTCCATAGACAATAAAAATAAAGTAGTGACTGCAGGTTAAATTAGGGGAGTAAAAGTACCGATACAGCACTAAAAATGTATTCACTTCGCCTTTATTTGTATAGCGCTTTTACAATGTAGATTGTGTCAAAGCAGCTTTACATAAAATATTCATAGTAAATTGTAACAGTGTAGTTCAAGGGAAAGTAAAAGTAAACATTTAAAAAACGACTTAGTAAATTACAATTCCTAGGAAAAACTACTCAATTACAGTAGTAATTTGTTACTTTACACCACTAATCATGGGATTTTGATCTCCCCTCTTTCAACTCTTGATGTTGAATATTCAACTCTGCAGTTTAACAGTGTGACTTTTATTGACATTTTGGCAAAGTTTTAAACATTATACTGAACAAGTAATAAATAAAAGACAAATAAGTCTGTAAAATGACAAAAAAAAATGTACTGGTAGTTTATTACAACAAAAACAGACAATATATCACTTTAACCATGCATGAAAAATGTCAATAAAAATCACTTTTTCAAACTTTTCAGTACTAAATAGTTGTTAATATATTAATAATTAAATAATTGTTGGCACAAATATTAAGGTCCCATAATGCAATGCAAAAGCATAAAAGAAAAACACAAAATATTGAAACTGTTAGTTTACGGATATTGCAGTGCAAATAGAGGCATTTAAATCAACATGCGTTTAGTTTTTCACTCTGTAGATAGAAGTTCAGTTGGAGTTTCAGTCTGCCCCCTGTTTACTTGAAGTTTGCAGAAATGCAATTGGACAGACCCACTTAAGCTCAAACCACATGTTGTGCTGTGGTTACCTGACCCCTGCCTAGCAAATACAACTATGAGAATAATATAGGTCTCAACCAACCTGTTCCAGCAAATTAAGATAACTAGAACAAGCATATCTTTTGATTTGGATGATAACCAAATGCAAGTAGCCACACAGCAAACATCACTTGCATGCTATTAACTATTACAGCACACAGCTTTACAGCTTCATGACAAAAAAGTTGAATCAAATAAATTTTTCTAGTCATCTGAACTTAAATCAGTCAAACTAAAAATATTTAGTTAAACTCGGCATAGCTGCAAAAAAGAAAAAAAAAAAAACTTAATAAACTATGTTAAGGCAACATAAAAACATGACTTTGTCATTTAATATTTTTCAGTTTGCAATTATTAATAGGGTTAGGTATCGTTTGGGGTTATTTCAATACCCGTGCTAAATCAATACTTTTAAAATGGTACCGGTGCCAATATATATATATATATATATATATATATATATATATATATATATATATATATATATATATATATATATATATATATATATATATTCATTATAATTGAACAATAAGTTTAAAATAAGTTTAAAGTTAACATCATTTTATACTTTATATATCTAAATTGCAATAAAAATTGTTTTCTTTGATCATTGGTTTGTTAGCATGAATGCAAGATTTGCATTATGCTTATAACTTTACATTAGTCTACTACTAACCTGTGGAAAGGCTGTCATCGAAATCAGGGAACACCTTTTTTTCTGGGTTTGGGGCTTGTGACTACTTTGACATGGACATCAGTGATTTAAAGATTTGTTCTAATCTGAATAAGACAATAATTAGATTCAGGTGTTTACATGAGTTTGCTTTTGAATGTTAAATTCATGATTCCCAGTTAAATGTTATAGCACATAGATCCATCAACGTCATTGCGTCACCAGCCTATAAATGTTTCCTCCACAGTTTGTGTCTGTGGTCCTTTAAGATAATCAAATATCCCTATTTACATGCTAGACTCTTGATCAGAGTATCGTCCTAATCATATTAAAATCAGAGTATTGGTGTCCATGTAAACATACTCAAAGTGCCAGATGATGTCACAAGCTGTCAAAGACAGTCCATTCCTCACCTTTAAGTTGATTACATGAGCCCTCAAATTTCATAAGTTTGACATGTTTTCCCCTTACACGCAATTTTTATGTATCATCTTCTGCATGTTGGTGTGTCAGAATCCTTGCTTGTAAAATAAAGCCATACTTTAGAATGCTTAGTTTAAGCAAATTAGATGAATGCGATCATGCGTGTTGAAGAAGGGAGTCGCTCACCGCATGCGCCGTTATGCACGCTTTGCCTTCTATAAGCAACAAGAACAAACGCCTGACATCGCTAACGTCTGTATCCCTCAAAGCTGTTTAGAATTAAATATTTAAAGATGGTGTGAACGAAGAGCCAAGCGGCGGTTCTGGTGTGCGACTTGCTTTTTGTTCTTATCGCAGCACCAGTGGCACCGGAATTAGGCATCGAAATTCAAATGCTGATTCAGTCCAGTGCATACCTTCTGTCCAGTGCATACCAAAGATACCGGTGCTATAATGGCACCTGGTTTCGGTACCCAACCCTAATTATTAAGCAAAATAAATCTGAAGCACAACTGTTTTGAAGGCTTACATTGATAATAGGTTTCCATTAAAGACCAATCCCAATCCCAATTCTCTTTTTGGATTTGGGATTATAGATAGCGAAATGTTTTCATTTTAGCTTAGTTAACAAGTATGTTAGTAGTTATGAATATATTAAACATATGCTTGTTTGTTGTAAAAATTCATAATAATCCTAAAAAAAAAACACTAATTTGTGGATCGCCACACTTCCAAGTGCAGCTTCTCTGCCATTGTAGCTGGTGTATTCTGGAAAATTTTCTTACTCCTTGGTTTCGAGTGTGGTCCTGATAAATCTCAGTGAAAAGGGCTATCTACCCTTTCCCCCAGCCCTACACCTTCAAGCTAAAGATAATTGGGTCACCCCTTCCCCTTTACATGAACGCACAAAACGAGGGGTAAGGCGAAGGGCAAAGGGGTAGAATTAGGATTGGCTTAAGTATTAATTCATTGTATTAGAAGGATTTCTGAAGAATTACTTACTGTAAGTGTTGTTGTGGTTAGTAAGTTTGCTTTTGAGTTTCTGCATGGTACTTTTTTGGAGACCAGTAATGCTCTTCATATCATTTCAAATAAATAACTGAAGTTGTATAAACTAAATGAACAAATAAATAGATTTTAAGCAGTATTTAATGTGTAAAATGTGTTCTAGTGACTTTACACAGAAATAACAACACGTCTCATGTATTATACAAGGAACTACTTTCTTCTGCCATTCACATCTGCAGCTGACAATCAGAAGAGCAGAAACTGTTGCCTGTCACAAACGTCACTTTAGAGCTAGTATTTGAATGACTCTCAAGCGTAATGTCCAAAGTGATGACAGGTTATTTTTGCTCATATTTTAAGATTACAAGGCTGAACGACATGAAAGGCCATCAATCTACAGAGAATTCTCAGTTTTTCTCCGTCTAAGGACTTATTATGCAGTCTCTGTCACCGTCTTGTGGTGGAACGTCAACCGTCCCTTTCTTTGGTCAGCTGAGACGGGCTGATGGCTGCCGATGCACTGAACATAATCTAATATTTATAGCATTCAGTATTTTGCATATATGGCATATTTTAAATCTGTAGAATCCAAATATGAACATACAGAATGTGTAATTTGCATATACTTCCATTAATCAGAAATCTGAATCTGAATTTCGGTAAATCAGCCAATCCATAGTTTTCTTTCGGCTTAGTCTCTAATTAATTAGATTTATCTGATGTACTGATTTAGGTCACTATCGTGGAACGAACCGCCAATCATTCGTAAGTTTTACACAGAGAATGCCCTTCTGGTCGCAAGACTCGCAACCCAGTACTGGGAAACACCCAAACACTCTCGCATTCACACACACACTCATACATTGAGTATCTAATTTAGTTCATTCAATTACCTTATTTTGCATGTGTTTGGATTGTGGGGAAAACTGGAGCATACAGAAAAACTTGCAAACTCCACACAGAAATGCCAACCGGCCCAGCTGGTCCTCTAACCAGTGACCTTCTTGCTGTGAGGAGACAGTGCTAACCACCATTCCGCCACTCAATCCATAGTTTGTGCCTTATAAATACCACTTATAAATACCCATTCCATAAAACGTCAAAAGCTTAAAAGCATAAAAACAATGCTGAAATGGAATGACTTTTATCTCTGTAATTCCTTAAAGTATATAGGTAATGCTATTTCTTAATGACATTTACACAACGGCAGCTCATGGTGCATGACTGTAATTTCTCTGAGATGTTAAATCACACAATGACAATAACAATGTTTCAACTAAGCCACTTAAAAAACAAATACTCACACACATGTGATTGTCTGTGCAGATCCGGACAGATGAATCACACACTGCCATGAGCAAACAAGGTAAGGATCGCTCTACCAGCATGTGTTTGCCAGTATCAGTCTTTGAAGCATACATGACATGTGAACAACATAACACTGCACTAACCTTTTTTTCAATAATATCATAGACAAAGTTGTTGCAGAACCTAAAAAAAATCGTCTTGGAGAAATGAAGCCATCAAAACCAATGGGACAGCTGACAAGTAAGTTCACAGATTTGTTTTTTGTTTTAGATATTAAGTTTAGTTTAGTTGACATCACTAAAAACAGACATTACAAATCCAATCCCTTCTCAGTATTAAGCCACGGTTACACCATACTTATTGACCCATAAACTTCTACTCAAACTAATGCTCATGCAGCAGAGCAGAAATGCAAGCTTGTGCATCAATTTTTGGGTTGTTCCTAGCTGCGGCAGGAAGTTAATGTGAATTTGGTTATATTATTTACCTATTCATTGTGCTTTATTAACATCTACCACTACTACAACCATCAATGTAATATAAAAACAGTAATTATACATAGTATTATTCACTAATTTAATAAATTGCTCATTAATTGTGTTTTAATTATGTCAAACCCTTAACCCAACAATCACAATAATGTAAAACAGTAATTATATTGAGTATTATTCATATTGTTTACTAAATTACCCATTAAACTGTATTTTATTAACGTCTACCCCTACTCCAAGCCTTAAGCCAGAAATGTCAAAACTTTTGAATGTTACTCATGTAATGTATTAAATTAGCCAGCAATTGTGTTTTATTAACGTCTACCCCTACCCTTACACACACGGTAAAAATGCTAGGTTTAACAAAATTGATTTGTGTTAGGCAACATGAAGTAATTTTAACTAAAAGTTGACTTCTTAGTTTTTACAATTTTAGGAAGATTAAACATATAAAATATTAATTTGATGCCAAAAAGGATCTACAGGATTGTGTTGTTTCAGCTAATTTTAAATAAGTAAATTGAACAAACAGCAAACACATCATCATTATGCACCTATAAGGTTCTATCTGTGTTCTGACTGATTTTGAGATATTGAGCTTCAAAGTTTTTGCATTCACAGCAAACAGTCCATGTGTAACATTTTTAAAAAAAATAAAAAGTCTTAAAATTTAAACAACTTATAAAAAACATCCCATAATGTAAATAAGTTGTATTTTAATAAGAATATGTCAATAACTCAATTTTGACAAAAAATGTCAGATATAAACTTGTGTATTCTAAGGCAATTTTGAGTGCAGATAATTTGTAAAAACTGATATTGTAAAGGAGAAATTAAACAATATTGTTAAATAGATTTGGCTATACACTGTAAAACCCAACAGTCAACTTTATCAAAGTAAATGAGTGTAGTTAACTCAAAATTGTGCGAGTTTTGAGCTCAGTGTTGAAGGTAATGAGTTAATTAAATACCTCATTACTTCAACTTAAATAAAGTTCACAGTACTCATATAGATTCGTTTTTTTTTTTTTTTTAGTCATATGGTGTGTAGCAATTGGTTTCCTCAAATAGTTTGAGTTGCCTTAACTTATTGAGTTTTACAGTACTCAGTTGGTTTAAGGTCTCTTCATTTATTGGGTTTTACTGTGCTCATATTTCTTTATTTACTCAAATGGATTAAGTTCACAATACTCATATAGATTAGTTTTTGAACTTAAATGGTTTATTGCAATCAGTTTTGCAATTTCCTCAAATGGTTTGAGTTACCTTAACTATTTGGGTTTTACAGTGTAGAGATGATGGAACATAGAGATGGATTGTCAGTGAGTGTATAGCTTTACATGGACAGAATGATTAAGACATGTTTAAAATCTACAACACAATATTTAAGGTAATTTATATATTTTTTTAAAGTTTTTAAATTTAAAACATTTTAAGATTTTAAAGAAGATCTGTTCTTGAACGAAACACTTCAACCACTGAAAATACATAACAAAGAAATAAAAATATTTTGGCCATTTCAATCTATCATTAGAGATGTCAAAATAAAAAGGGGCACTTTTAAGGTGCAGTATGTAAGTTTGACAACCAGTGGTTGACCTAGGTATTCCATGCCTGGTTCAAAACACACACAGAAGCGAGTCTGACTATCGAGCTTAAAGGCTGACTTAAGTCATGTTCTAAATAAAAGCAACAGCACGAGATAGAAGGACTATTTTTTTTCATATTAAAAGGAGTTTTTTTCCTAACAACACCTGAAATTTAGATTTTAGAAACACCTTCTATTACTTGCAGCTGAGCAACAGGATAAGCTGTCAATCCTCCCATCAGGTACACCTTGTGTTCTTTATCCAGTGCTAATGTGAATTTAAGTGCCATTTCACATGACATTTATTGCCATACTACTGAAAGCAGCAGCAGATAGTTAACTTCAGATCTTAAAAAAAAAAAAAAACAGTTTTAAATTGAATTTTAGAACTGTGAACCCGTTCAAGCCAACACAAATCAGGGATTCAGCATGTAGATTTAAAATTGTTAAAGAGATTTAATATGTATTAATTAGATTATACACCTTACCATTTCGTTGGAGTGCAGTGAGTGCACTATTCCGTCGTGTTTCATCTGGTGCAAATAGCTAATCAGAATCAATTTTATTGGCTAGTGTGATTCACACACTCAAGGAATTTATTTTGGCTACTTCTCTCATGATGTAGCTGTTGTCAGGACACAGGGTTACAATGCAACCTGCTCACCAAGTGTTTACATTCGTATTATTTATATTGATATTTGGCAATTAATAACCAGCTCATGTGGAACTCTGAATCTGCATCTCATTTTGGTCACGGGCAAAATACGCTGTTCTCCACCAAGGCAACCAAGGGTGATGAAATATAAATAGTATATATGTTCCGGCATGTAACGGACATTTTTTGTTTATTAGATGAACAAGAATGTTCACTTAGCATGTTTCTTAAATATCTGCAAACATATTATGATAGTTTTATGCTTTAGAAGAGTCAAAAACCTACATACAGCACCTTTAACTCAGCAATATTTTAATTGTGAGCCTAAATTAAGTTTTATTGTTGAAAAATGTGCTGTATGTCTCATTCACGTTGTCTTCTCCTTCACAGCTGGTTTGCGTGTAAATAATGAAGTTGTGCTGTGGCATGAGAATCATGACTCCATCCTTCACTTCATCAAACACAAATCACAGGAGGGAAAACTCATCATAGAGAAGGAGGGATTCTATTCTGTCTACTCTAAGATCAACTACAAGGAGGAGAGCATCTTATTCACCCACTCTGTAGTCAGAAATACACAGCGATTCGCAGGCGAAGAGATTCTGCTTTTGCAATCCTCCAGCTTACATCCAAAAATCCCAAGACCAAGCATCGAAAACAGCTTTCTCAATGGCGTGTTTCACCTTTACAAAGACGATGCGATTTTTGTCAGGGTAAAAAACTGCACAATTGTGTTGTCCAACTCTGCTGAAAACTACTTTGGGTTGTTTATGATTTAACTGAATTCTGAAGTCTGCCTTTTATCATATGACATTTAATAGCTTTGACGGGAAATTACATAATAGAAGGAGCAATATTTAGCTTTCCTTTGAGCCTGTCCTCAGATGTAAAACTTCTTTTGGACAAACATCTTTTTCTTTTAGAGCCACTAGCCTATGGAATAATTTTACAACAGAACAGATCACATGCACAGACTACAGAATGTTTTCAAGCCTGACCAGGAGGTAGTTTTTATGGAGGCAGATTAGTCTAACACAATATATATATATATATATATATATATATATATATATATATATATATATATATATATATATATATATATATATATATATATATATATATATATTTACAAAATGAAATTCACACGTCCACAACACAATTCACATTTACAAAATTAAATTTGTAAATTTGTAAACACAATTTGTGAGTTTACAAGTAAAAATCATAAATATTTTCGGCAAATGAATTGGATTTGCATATTTATGAATTGTGTGTTGAGTTTATGAATTTGATCTGTGAATTCTCGAATCATGTTTTGTATTTATAAATTGGATTTGTGTGTTTATGGAGCGTGATTTGAATTTACGAAATGGATTTGTGTATTTTCAAATCATGTTTTGAATTGACGAATTGGATTTGTGTTTATAAATCGTGTTTTGAATTTACAAAATGGTTTTGTGTGTTTATGAAGCTTGTTTTGAATTTACAAATTGGTTTTGTGTATTTTTAAATCATGTTTGAATTTACAAATTGGACTGGTGTGTTTATAAATCGTGTTTTGAATTATGAATTAGATTTGTGTGTTTATAAAGCGTGTTTTAAATTTATGAATTGAGGCGGCGCAGTTGCGCAGTAGGTAGTGCTGTCGCCTCAAAGCAAGAAGGTCGCTGGTTCGAGCCTCGGATGGGTCAGTTGGCGTTTCTGTAAGGAGTTTGCATGTTCTCTCTGTGTTCGAGTGGGTTTCCTCCAGGTGCTCCGGTTTCCCTCACAAGACATGTGGTACAGGTGAATTGGGTAAGCTAAAAAAATTGTCTGTAGTATATGTGTGTGTGAATAAGAGTGCATGGGTGTTTCCCAGTGATGGGTTACAGTTGTAAGGGCATCCGCTATGTAAAACATGTGCTCATTCCGCTGTGGTGACGCCAGATTAATAATGAATGAACAAATGAATTTACATTTTTTTTCAATGTAATAGGATACTAATAGGATGTTCATGCTGAACATTATTCTAATGGTATGAAAAATGCAAAAGTAACTCACGTAAGTAACATAATGTATTACTTTCCATATAATGTAACTAAGTAATGCAACTAGTTACTTTTTTGGGGAGTAACTCAATATTGTAATGTGTTACTTTCAATTAAATAAAAATAAATAAATTCAATAAATTTTTGCATCTAAAAATAAACTAGACACTGAACGAATGATGAAATGAATAGCGCATTTAGGTGGACAAACCTTTCTCAATATTTTGTGACGAGAGAGTTTCTTGTACAGGATCACAGGATGGATGTTTTTATTCCTAAACATAAAACTAACAAATTATGAGAGTAAAAAAAAACAAAAAAAACAGCCTGATCTCACGAGGACGCATAACTATTTTACGTTTTGTAAGTTTAGCGGCTAATTCGTACGAGTTCAGCCATACGAAAATGTATGATTTTAAAAAGGAGACGTGGCATCCAACCCCACTCCTAAACCTTACCATCATTGGAAGATGAGCAAATCGTACTAAACTGTACAAAAGAGATTGTACGAATTAGCAACTAAATCAAAGTTCCGAATTACTGTGAGATTGTGTTGAAAAAAACTTAAAAACTTTATTTGTTTTGCACTTAGCAGCTTCTGCTCTTTAGATCCTTGTTAAAGGATCACTATTTCAAAATAAAGCAACTGAAGTTGTAATTTTTATAGGATTTTAGTTCAGTAAATGTAATATTGGTAACTTGTGTGCATTGAATGTATAAGGGTTAGGGTAATAATTATTGTAATAAACAAATCTATTTTCGACTAGAAATGTACAATTTATATGCTATGTGTTTTGGTTATTCATTTAATTTTCAATGGTGAAATCATCTAATTATGTAACTAGTGTTTAAATAAATTCAATAAATGTTATAAAAAGAACATGAGCTTTTTATTACACTTTAAATTTGTTCAAAATACTGCTGCATATTTTAATATTGCAGTTCCTTTTGTATGTATCTTTGCATGTCATATTTTTGTATTCTTTTCAGATACGTGGTTACAAATATTTTATTAAATTAAGTATTGATTATATTTTTAATACACTTTTTGTCTGAAAACTGTTTTCTAATAAAATAAATAAATTTATTTCACTCTGCTTCAAAATTTTTGTTTTTTGTTTGCAATTATTTAATGTTGTAGTAAATTTTAGTGGAAACACACACACACACACACACACACACACACACACACACACATACACACACACACATATATATATATATATATATATATATATATATATATATATATATATATATATATATATATATATATATATATATATATATTATTATATTATGTTCATCAATTAATTTAAAAAGTGAGGTTTGAAATATCTTAGGCCACTGTGAAAATGTTTAATTAAGTTACAAAGAAACAGAAGTAGCAGCATATATAATTAAATTAAGTGAAATTCAATTATTTAATCCATAGCAATTATTAAAGAGATGTGAGGATTGCGCTATTAAAATAAATGTCAGCTTACACTCTTTTTACACTCAAAGTTTGTGCTCATGAATATTGTTTTAATATGTAGTGCAAACTGTCTAATGGAGAAGGATTAGCTCGTGTATGTTAATTACGTCTATGTAAAGTTGTATTTCGAATTCAAGAGCGACGGCTTATTTTATGAACGATAATATTAGATTGTAAAGCTTAAAGTCTGCTCTCTAGTATCTGACATGTTCCACCCCCTTCAAGACGCTCTCTACATTTTTCAGTTGAGATTACGTCAAACATTGAATAAAAGGCACTTTACAGCTTTCCTAGAGTTACACATTTGGGTTTTACCATTATTTCTAATCCATTTTTAATCCATCGCACCATGACATAGAAGTTACATTAAAAGACAATACACCTGTCACAAAGACCGAGAAGGTGGATTTATCAGAGAATAATACATGTTTCACATAGTGCACAGCCCAAGATTATCACTGCTGGCACCAATAGATGTTTGGCATTGGCATAAGTGATAACACCCGGCCATGTATATTGACCCAACAAACAGCTTCAAACAAACAGTTTTGGTGGAAATAGGAGAGTTGAGGCATACATTTACTTCTGCAGAGAGTTGGGCGTCTTTGGTTTTACTGTATGTATCTTTTCAGACAGATTGCTCTTGTGGGTCCACAGTAGCAACACAGGTAGCACTGTGATGTGGCTGTATACTGGCACTGATTGATAAATATACGGAAACTGAAGCATGTATATATATATATATATATATGAATATGTGCAGTAAGGGATTATCAACGGTTTAGAGCTTTGAGTATGGGGCAAGTTGTTTTTTAAAGATGTGTTATCCTAATACATTGACTTAAAAAAAAAAAAAAAAAAAACTCTTAAATTTCTTTCTCATTTTTATTGTAGCCAACCGTCCACATCTTTTTCCTGTGCGGCATATGTGAGTTGCTATGGTAATTACTGATGTTTGGGAGAAGCACATTTATTTCGTACCTTGATCAAAACTGATTAAAACTACCTGTGTGTTTTAATGAAAAAAAAAAAATGCACATCCTCCGGCCAATCAGAATCAAGAAATTTCAACATACCATTGTATATATACAGTTGAAGTCAGAATTAATAGCCCCCTTGAATTATTAGCCCCTAATTTTTCCCCAATTTCTGTTTAATGGAAAGAACAGTTTTTCAACACATTTCTAATCATAATAGTTTTAATAACTCATTTCTAATAACTAATTTATTTTATCTTTGCAATGATGACAGTAAATTATATTTGACTGGTTATTATTACTTCTATACAGCTTAAAGTGACATTTAAAGGCTTAACTGGGTTAATTAGGTTAACTAGGCTGGTTAGTGTAATTAGGCAAGTTATTGTATAACAATGATTTGTTCTGTAGATAATAAAAAAAATGCTTAAGTGGGCTCATAATTTTGTCCCTAAAATAGTTTTTTATTTTTTATTTAAAAAAACTGCTTTTATTCTAGTCAAAATAAAACAAATAAGACTGTTTTCAGAAGAAAAAATATTATCAGACACACTGTAAATGTTCCCTTGCTCTGTTAAATACATATCTATATTAATATATATCATGCCAGTTTTAAAGTTACAAAGAAGCTACCAGACTCATTTGCACCTTCAAAAAAATTCAAGGGTGTATAGAACAAAAATAAAAGGGCTCAAAGAATAGGTCTCAAACTGAAAAGGTCAATACTGTAACGTTGCACAAGTAAACACTTGTAGGTCACACTTAAACTTGATGGTCCGTTTGTTGAATTTAAGTCACATTGCAAATACATTCCAACTATTTCCTATTAGCTTATAAGTAGACTGTTAGGTTGGGGTTAGGGTTGAGGTTAGGGCGTACTCACACTATACTATGCAAACAATGCCCAGGCTCGTTTCCTGGATCATTTGAGAAGTTTGAGTGCTCTGAATCGAGCTCAGGCACGGTGGTGCTGTACGCTTGTGTTTGAGTGCAAAACGCGTCTGAGCCCGAAACTGAAAGTGAGACGTGACTTTGATATGGGACTTTTGGTAAGGGACTTTGATATGGATTATTTAATCAGTCTTACTGTTCATTGAACACAAACTGTCGTAGATTATTAAAGACGCACCTTCAGCTGCACCTTCAGCAAACCTCCTAATTACTGCAGCACGAGGACTTTATGATTGTCTATCAGCATCAAAAATGCCTCATCTGTTTGGGGAAATATTTAACTGCATGTCACTGCATATCAAACGACTTAAACCATGTAACTAAAGAAATCTCTACTTTGCTGG